CCGTCCAGGAGAGCGCTACAGGCATTAAACTGGAAGGAGTGGCGTGCTTCGTGCTCCGACTCTGGAAAAGGCCTGTTGATGTATTTAGACAGAGGGACTCTGAGCAGGATGTCCTGGACCTGATCAGGGGAGACCTTTCCTGGGTCGACTCCAACAAGAAGCTTGTGGACCGAAGCTGCAGCATCTGCCACCCAGTGCATCCCCAGATGGGCAGGGAAGCGCTTAAAACCCATGTCCTGCTCCTCTAGGAGGAACACATGACCATCATCACTGGTCAGTTGTAAAGCTTGTGGGACATAATCTTCATAAAATGCATTAAAGCCCGCCACTCCTGCTACAGCATCCAAGACCAGAGGACTGGCCTCTAGGCCTCGGGAGGCCAGCAGAGCAGCTTCCAGCCCCAAACGGGAAGCGTTGCCAATATGAAGGGGTTTGGACTGAGTGGCAGCGTTCGCCATCGGAGCTCCAGCTAGAGAAGCAGCTATAGCCAGGGCATGACTGCACTGAGACGGATCCAAGGACAAGAGGCGAGCACAAGCTGCTGCACTTCCCATAGGACCCACCACCGTGGGGGGGTGGAACCTGACCAAACAAACACAGAGACACTTCAATATATTTACTACATACACATCACAATATTGTTCTAAACTGGCATGATATGAATGAAAAACTAGTTTTAAGGTAGGTTAGATAAAAGTTTTCAGGTTTTTGTAGTATAACTCTGTGCAACTAATTCCCTAAAAAAAGATTTTCAGGTTTTTGTAGAATGACTACAAAACTAAAATTCCTCAAAAACATTTTACTCAGTTATTAAAGTGCAATGCAGAAATCTGCAGTTTCTACTGGACATTAAAAAGACTGATCAAAAGACTCATGTTACAAATAATCCATCCATGGTTCAACTACATTTAGACTGAAATATAATGCTCCTCTTCTCCAAGACACTGACCTCTTGGGGATGTTGTGCGCCTCATTAGAGAATCTCAGTAGACGACCCTGGATCTCGATGCCGACATTGAAGGCCAGTAAGAAGTCCAGGCCACTTGGTTTACTGTTAGCTGGCATCATGTCACTGAGAGCTAACACGGCAGGAAGGACGGCTCCTGAAGGATGAGTGGCTGGGTGCCACGTATCATCAAAGTCCATGGAATGTGTCTGCAGCAAAATAACAGATTTGAGTTG